GGGGGGGGGGGTAGCTTTAGGTTAGGGTTTTTAAAAAATGAAAAATGAAAAAATGGAAAAAGGGGGGTTGGGATTAGCTTGGGTTATGGGGCGGACTGGGTCGGGTCGACCCGGTGGGGTTATTTGGTTTGGGCCTGGTTGATTTAAATTAAAAGGTGGCCCAATCCGATTTTCTTTATATTTTTATTGCTTCTTTTTTCTTCTTTTATTTTTTCTTAAACTAAAACTAAATTCTAAAAATCCTAAATTATCATATAGAACTAAATTAATTTATAAAAGTGCAAATTAACTCTCAATAACAATTAACACACAATTAAATAGTAATTACAATAAAATCACACAATTTGGACATTAAATGCTAAAAATGCATCGTACATTATTTTTATGATTTTTTGTTTTTGTAGAAACAAACTTAATTCCTCCTAATTGTAGAATTAAATCCTAAATGCAAATGCGACATATTTTTGTATTTTTTATTAATTTAACAAATAAACATGCATAGACAAATACAAATAATTATCAAAAAATACCACAAAATCCTCAAAATTGCACACAAAAGGAAAATTATTTTTATTTTGAATTTTTGGGAGTAATTCTCATATTGGGCAAAAATCACGTGCTTACAATACTTCCTACAGACGTAGAGAGAGTGCAGAGATTAGTTACGGGGTTACACCCTAGTATTTGAGCTAGCATGGCCTGGGAGGTTGAGATGGGGCTGAGTATCAACTAGTGGTGGAGATTGCTCGGAAGATTGAGGGTTACCGCCAGAGGTGTAGAGAGAAGTTGTAGAAGGACAAGAGGACCCGATTCTCTGGAGGGTTTAGAGGTGCCCCAGTTAGGGGCAGAGGTCAGTTTGGGAAGGGTCAGCCCAGCAACCCCCCATATTCATCACCACCACCTCCTCCTCGAGATGCTCCAGTGAGGCCTTATTTCAGTGTGATGCCGGAGAGTTCTTACCGCCCGCCAGCTATTCAGGGTTCCTCCGATGGGTATTCTGGCCATCAGGGTTCTTCCAGTGCCTACTTCAGTACTATGCCAAAGAGTTCATACCGCCCACCAGCCATTTAGGGTTCTTCTAGTGGGTATTCAGGCCATCAGGTTCAGGCTTCAGGACAACAGTCTATGGCACAACGGGGTTGTTACGAGTGTGGGGATCTAGGTCACATGAAGAGATTTTGTCCAAGACTTCGGGGCAAGGCAGTACAGTAGGGTCATCAGCCTATGATTGCAGCACCGGTCGTCCGGCCGCCCAGAGGCAGAGGGCAGGCAAGTAGAGGCCGTCCTAGTGGTGGAGGCCAGGA